CTCTTCAGTGCCACTGGATAGCTATTGATTAATATTTACTGAATGTTCACAATGTACCAGCTGCCACTGAGATGCAAGTAGCTGATGATCTGTTTAAATTGCTGCTATTTTGTTTGGTTGAAAGAGTCTAACTTGAAACTTTCTGAGGCAGTCTGTGAATGTCACTGCTACGGCAGCATCAGGGTCGAGGCCAGCTCTAGGCTTTTTGGGGATAAGCTGAATGAGCTCAGAGGTGCAGGTAGCTTTGATCTCTTCCCGAAGGAACTTGACTTGGAGAAAATATCTCTTTCTCAGCAGAGAGAAGCAGATGGTGAGGATTGATGTTTCCCAGATAGAAAGGTGATTTATATCTAAGTCTTTGTGGGAGACAGAATGTCTAGGAAAGAAAGAGGAAACCTTTCTAAGTAGAACTTTTGGCCAGGAGTCAGAAGACTGTCACAAGAATGCTGTGTTCTTTGTCCCCCTCTTTCTGTGTGGCGTGGCTTTCTTTCTAGTGTCTGGGAAAGAGAGAGAAACTGAGAGAGAACAGCCTTCATGATAACAGAAACGTGACATGGGCTTTGAGAAGAACAAGTTCACAGGTTCTACAAGGTGGCAATGCAGATCAGAGCAACAGGGAAGTGGGAAAGGCTGCCGGGTGCCCAGGTCATAAGGCGAGTAAAGAGGCTCACAGGTTGCATTTGAAGTTAAGCACAGTAGTAGGTACACGGAATATCTAAAAAGGAATAAGTTTTTAAACTAAGTTTGATCTAAACAGAATCTTTAAATATATAAAGTTGAGCAATTAAAATTATTTCTGATATAGGGAAAGATAATTTGTGGTATATGAAGGTAGGGAATAACATGCTTTCTTTTTCTTTTTCTTTTTTTTTTTTTTTTTCCAGAGCAACTAGTTTAGAAGTCCCGGAGCTGAGGGATGAGGTTTGATGGCACTCAAAGCTGCAACATTGATTTCTTTAGTCAGAATTAGAAAAACGTCTTGAAAAACAGTAGATTAAAATACCAGAAGACAGTCTTTCTGGCAGCATATTCTACTTAAAATGATGAGCATTTAGAAATAGCCCTTCATACTATCTAAAAAAAATTACATTTTCAAAATTGTAGCAGAAGAAATTACTATTCAGAGTTGAGCTTTGTGATGTTTAAGTGAAAAAGGAAAAAGGCAGGAGAAAAAGGATGGAGGCAAGAGAGATGAAGAAGTAGACACAGTAATAGAAACAATATAGGAATTAAAAATTGGATATAACTACTAATACTGTAGAAATTTAAAAAATCAATAATATATTTTGATGCACACCTTTCTGCCGGTAATGTTTAATACTAATACAAAATGGATAATTTCCTAAAAAACAATAATTTAAAAAATGACTCATGGAGAAATTAGGAATCAAAGTATACCAATAGCCATTAAAGAAACTGAATCAGTAATCAAAAGGCTAAGCTTACCCAGAATACATAAAACTCAGATGCTTTTATATGTGATGCTTAACAAATCTTTAAGCAATAAATAGTCTCTTTATTACATAATGTGTTTTAGCGAATAGAAAAAGAGAAAGCTATCTAACTCATCTGGCTAGTCACTAAAAGTAAACAAGAAAGTACAAGAAAGTTACAGACTACTCTCACTAATGAATATAAATGAGATATTCCTACGTAGAATATTAGTCAATTAGGTCAGCAGTATGTATGACCAAAGAATATTTATTTAAGAAATGAAGGCATAGTTTAATATTTTAAAATCTATTAATGATTACTATGAAGGGAGATTATATCATAAACCATATGATCATACCAATAGACACAAAAAATTCTGATAAAATTCAACATTCATCTAGGATTAAGAATTCTAACCAAACTACAAATAAGAATGTCCTAACTTGCTAAAAGATATCTTTTTAAAATCAAATTATGTATTAATCTATAACTGTAATTCCAACTGAAATCCAATAGAGATTCTCATGACATACGACAAGCTATCTTAAAGGTCACTGGGAGGAGCAAAAAGTTAAAAAGAGCTAAGATACTTTGAAATACAAAAGATAGTCGGACTTGTCATTATTATAAAGTCTTGGTGACTAAGACATGTGATCTTGGTGTGGGATAGATTAAAAAGAACCAGTGAAACAGAATAAGGCGTCCACAAACAACCCCAAACATACATGAAAATACATATATGACAGAGGTGTCATTTCCGATAAGCATGGAAAAAATAAAATCTTCAATAAAGATGGAAAATTATAAAGCCCTATTTCCCAACATACACAAATTCCAGAGAGACCAATGATTTAAGTGTGAGAAGTGAAATTTGAAAACTTTTAGCAAATAATACAGGAAAATATATTTATGACTTCAAAGTAGAAAAATGTTTCTTAAACAAGACATAAAAAGCAAAAACCATAAAGCAAAATATAAACAAATTGGACTCCATTAAACTCAAAACTTCTGTAAAACAAAAACCCCACAATACATATGCACATGCGCGCACACACACGCACCCTCTTCCCCCCGCTAACACACCCACACTGGGAGAAGATATTTGTGATGCACATAACCTTCAAATTGTTACTTGAATTAAAACGGCCGGGCGCGGTGGCTCAAGCCTGTAATCCCAGCACTGTGGGAGGCCGAGGCGGGTGGATCACAAGGTCAAGAGATCGAGACCATCCTGGTCAACATGGTGAAACCCCGTCTCTACTAAAACTCCAAAAAATTAGCTGGGCATGGTGGCGCGTGCCTGTAATCCCAGCGACTCAGGAGGCTGGGGCAGGAGAATTGCCTGAACCCGGGAGGCAGAGGTTGCGGTGAGCCGAGATCACGCCATTGCACTCCAGCCTGGGCAACAAGAGCGAAACTCCGTCTCAAAAAAAAAATAAAATAAAATAAAATAAAAAATAAATAAAACGCATGCTTACAAGTCAACATAAAGTAGACAACCCAACAGAAAAAAAAAGGATGGCTCAAGCCTGTAATCCCAGCACTTTGGGAGGCTGAGGCAGGTGGATCATGAGGTCAAGAGATCGAGACCATCCTGGTCAACACAGTGAAACCCTGTCTCTACTAAAAATACAAAACATTAGCTGGGCATGGTGGTGCGTGCCTGTAATCCCAGCTACTGAGGAGGTTGAGGCAGGAGAATTGCCTGAACCCAGGAGGCGGAGGTTGCGGTGAGCCGAGATTGCGCCATTGCACTCCAGCCTGGGTAACAAGAGTGAAACTCCGTCTCAAAAAAAGAAAAAAGGAGGGGGAAAATAAGTGAATAGGCAATCTATTGTGTGAGAAATGCCCATGGTCCACAAATACGTGGAAAGATGCTCAACCTCACTAGAAATATAAAAAACAAAAGTGTAAAAAATGACAAGATGTCATTTCATCCTCATATTTGCCCAAATTAATGCCAAATACTAGAAAAGAGGAAGCGGAATGAAAGTTCTCATATATTGCTCCTCGAAGAACTAAAACAATACAAAAAGGAGAATAATTGGCAATAAAATAAAAGTAAAAAAGTGCTGCCTTGCGACTCACAACTCCACTTCCAGAGGTGTAAAGAGACCCATGCACAGGTGTGTAGCGAGACATATTAGGAACATTCATTGCAGTGTTGTTGGTAACAGCAAAAACTCAGAAACAATTTATATGTCCATCAAGAAAAGACAATATTAAAATCAATCATGATGTATTTCACAGTGGAACACCACATAATGCTTCAAAATGGGCCTGTTGACAAATGGTTAAATATAAAAATATATTTAAAACATTGCATGAACAAGATAGGCTGCTAACCTCTGTAAAGTGAAAGAGAATGGATTGGGGAGGGAATACCCTGGGGAGTTTCAACTATCCCTATACACTACTACTTTATTCCTTAGGAAAAAACAACATGGAGCCATATGGCAAAGTGTTGGCTTCCAATAGAGCTGGGAAGTGGCCGGGTTATGCTGTTCTCAGTTCTCTTCTACAGATCTGGAATAACTCCTAATAAATTGAAACAAAGGAAAAGCAACAAATGAGTTGCTTTTCTACAACTGAAGTGAAATGCAGCAACACCTGCAGCAACAACAGGTCACTGAGTCAGTTGAGAGACTAAGACCATCCTTGCAGCCAGGTCAGTGGGTAACTAAGAACAGCAGGAACCTATGCAGAGAGACGACAGTTAACGCCCGAATTAGATGCTTGTTGGTGGCTGGCACCCCATTAAATAACTGCCTCATAGTTTCACCACACAGTTTCATCTTCTTTTCAGTGCCTTCCTATTTTTAGAATCTGATGTTCTGAGATAAAGAAACATTTTTGTGCTTCGTAAACCTAGAGAAGTGGACCCTCCCCCAGCCATGTTCTCAACCATCTGGCCTTGCAGAGACTGGGAATCTGGCTTCGCATCAGATTTGTGAAAGCACTGAGAACGTAAATGACTTCTGGGACCAGGAGGGTAAATCATCAGGATCCAGACGTGGGCAGGTGTAAGCCTGGGAAGTGGAGGGGAAGTGGAGAGGGCCTGGAGAAGGCAGCTAAGGAGGGAAGTGGCCACAGCTTTAGCTGATTGTGGGCACATGGAAATGAGGCTGTGTCATCAGATTTTCCAATTCAGAGGAAGCCAGAAATTTGAATTCTTTTTTAAAAATGTGAGATCTCCTGTTTTTTAAATGCTTCAAGTAATTTGAACATATCTTAAAATAATATGTAGCAGAAAACAACAACGAGAACAACATGAAGCAAGCCTCTCCTGGATTCTTTTTCTTTTTCTTTTTCCTATTCATTCTATTTCTAGAGCTCCTTGAAGACTTCTGCTAGCAGACCATCATCTTGTTTAAAATTGGCAGAGAAAGCACCAGCTGCTGGAATCCCACGACCGACTGGGTCTCACTACTGGCCCCAGTTGCTGAGGAACTTCAAGTGCAGAGCAACAATGAAGACACACATACTCTCTTTCCTCTCTCTCTCTCAATCTCTCTCTCTCTCTCTCAACTGTCAACAATTGGCATTGTCAAAAATAAAGCACAGACCTGACATGTCAGCCTTGTGAAATCCAAACAGGACCACTGAATGAGCTGGAAAGAGCCATGGCACTCACCGCGTGATGAACTGTGACCTCAATTCACACTATCCCTTTTATGCACTTCTGCGGTCTCCTCCCACTTCCTCACTCACGTGCATCCCAAGGGTAGCCCCTGAAGCCACGTGAGTTTTTCCAGTTCCTTCATAACAGCTTACCGCAAGTGGGGAAACTGAGGGTCGGCATGGCATAGGTGGCCCATGAGTCACAACACTGCACTGCCACATCCAGAAAACCGCCTCTATGTGGAAGCACCAGTGGTGTCTCAGGAATTTGATGAGTGCGTTGTCGGCACAGGTGTGCATTGAGGGTCTAAATAACACCTGATCACTTCACTATATTTTGTTTTTCCTGCTATGGAAAGAAGATTGTGGAATCAGAAGAAAAAATTTAGAATTGGTACAGAACTGCTCTTATTCGCAGTTATAAAAAGGAACTGTACATTTTCCCAGCCTTCCAAGATGATAACGCTGGGTTTTATTTTTGGAAAAAGTACTTTTCGTCTTGTAAAAATTTAATGGCCTTTCAGTGACAGGGAAGTTCTGAGTGGTTTTTACTGGCTCTTTTCTGGCCGCTGCAGAAGGTGAATGCTAGGGCTAGGGCCTTCCCCCTGCTTGAAGGGATGGCCAGGCAGAGGAAACACGCCCCCTCCATTGTCTGGGTGCTGCTGCTTCGCAAATTGTTCCTGTACAACATTCTTTTCTTCCCTCTCTGAGCTAGAGGCAAGGCAAAGGTAGCCAGACCTTTAGATAAGATTGCCAATATTAACATCTAACTTCTGGTAGTACTTTTCTGTCTACAGATGTCTAAGTGCCTTAATTCCTTTCTCTTTTAGATTTGCAATGAGCAGAGACTTCCTTCTACTTGGTGTTAATATAAAATGATCATACATCTAATCATTAATATCAAACTTGAACCAGGGCTTCTCAAGGTTGAACATGCATCTGAATCACCTGGGGGATTTGTTAAACTGTAGATTCTGATCCTGTTTGTGGAGCAGGCTGCCAGACTGCTATTACTGTCAGGTGATGCTGATGTTGCTGGCTCGTGGACTGCACCTAGAGGAGCAAGGGAGGGTTCAGGATAACAGAAGGGGAGGCTGAGAAGGAGAAGATGCAGTTTCCCTCTTTTTGTTCTGAGGTTGTCCTGTTCTCGCCTTACCCAGGATAATCATCCATCATCCAAGCCTACCTCCTTGGGAGGATGCCTTGGCTACCAGCAAGGACCCAGGAGGAGGCTGGGGGTGTGTGTTTCTTTGTGAAAAAAGACAACAGTGCTAGCAGTCATTGTTCTCATAACAGAAGCTCTGGTTCTTTAGCTCCCCTGACAATTATTCTCCAGGATTCTAGATCAGCAGCTGAGGCTGGAGGAGGTGAGCCTGCAATCAGAAGGTGTTGGTGGAAAGAAGCTCTGTGGACGCTTGAAAGCAGCAAATTATCAGTTGTGTTTGTTTTGAGGTTGTGGCAGACTAGGTAATTGAGAGAGAGAGGGGGTGAGGATGCTACTAGTCTGCTCCAAGATTTTTCCCTGTCGCAGACTGGATGGAGTGAAATTAAGCTTTTAAGTGCCAGGCCTTTTGGCCAGAGTCCCTGGCACACAGATGGTGTCACAGTCAGGCCGGCTCCTTTCCTGCTCCTGACACAGAGGTGTTGAGGGCCTTCAGGCCCTGTAGGACTGTAACAGATGTTGTTTGGTTCCGGCAACTGAGCAGGAGCCTTGGCTGCAATGTAAACATTTCATCAGCTCCGGTTCTTTTGCTGCTCTGCCTTTGAACAATTCCTTTCTTAGAGGTGTCTACGTCCACCTGTCCAGGCTTTCGCTGGTTAGCTACTGATGGGAAGGGGCTGTAATGTATTCCCAAAGCTTGCCCTGCTTATCACTTTACTGCAGAAGGCCCTATATACAGACCTAGGGGGAGAGCAGACTCACCGACTGTCCAGATGCTGCAGTTGACAAATCCCACTCACTACCTCTCTCATACACTCTGATAGAGGTGCTGGCCCATCAGTATTCATCATGGCTGGAGTAAAATAAAGCTGGCAGCCCTCAGTGTACAATGTCTTCAAAAGTTTTAGAATATCTCCAACTAATTCTGATCAGTTTCTAGAACAAAGTTATACCTACGATTTTTCCTAAATAATTTTGGCAATGGTAAAATTTTTTTTTTAAATTAGAATGATGTCCTACTCAAATTAAGAAAAATGAGTTAGGGCCAGGCGCGGTGGCTCACGCCTGTAATCCCAGCACTTTGGGAGGCCGAGGCGGGTGGATCACAAGGTCAAGAGATCGAGACCATCCTGGTCAACATGGTGAAACCCCGTCTCTACTAAAAATACAAAAAACATCAGCTGGGCATGGTGGCATATGCCTGTAATCCCAGCTACTCAGGAGGCTGAGGCAGGAGAATTACCTGAACCCAGGAGGCGGAGGCTGTGGTGAGCCGAGATCGTGCCATTGCACTCCAGCCTGGGTAACGAGAGCGAAACTCCGTCTCAAAAAAAAAAAAAGAAAAAGAAAAATGAGTTAAAGTAAAAGAACAGTCTCCAACTGATAAGACAGCAAATAACCCCAATTCATTTTAAATTGAAGAAGACCTGAATGAGCAGGAGAAGGCGAGTCCACACTTGCCTACTGAGATTTCTTTTGGAAGTAGGGAAAATACTACTTGTATTTCACAGAATACCAAACCTGTCAGTCAAAACTGTAAACACTCTATCTGCTATCAGAAAACGAGTTTCAGAACATGCTATTTCTACATACAAGGGAGAAGTGGAAGTCCACAGGGGGAGCTCTGGTTCACCTAAAGGTCAATTGGCTAATAGGTGGATGCTGCTGCCTGCTGCAAGTCGCCCAACCCCAGTGGAACTGCACCGTGACTCACAGCAGAAGATGCGAATGTCCCTTTGTTCTCAATGGAAAGACTCTTCAGGGCAGGCATGACCACTGCATTGTGTAGGACCATGGGTCTGTGTCATTCTCTTTGTCCCCAGTGCTGTCACACAAATACAGAAGACCAGATTATGCGTGTCTTCGTCTCTTGCCACACTCTCAGCACCTGCAGTATGGGTTCTTGTTCACTGTTGGTCGGCTTGGCCCTGCCAGAGGCTCTTATGCATTAGGCACTTTCAAGTACATCACCGAATCCCACCCTAGTGGGGTAAGGAACACTGCTTTCATTATTCTAATTATGAAAAATCCCGAACTTAAAGAGGTGAATTTTTGTTGTTGCTGTTTTAAAGTCAAAGGCCGCATGGCATGTGTCTGAGCCAGATTTCAAAGTCATCTTGACTCTCAGACTCTGTCGTTTCTATTGGTCCTGCTAAACAGTGAAGGGGTGGGGCCTTGCATTTGTGTGCTGACAAATGAAGCAGCCTTAATCCATGTGACATGTGGTCCCCTCTCTGTGGCTGAAGAGGAAATGACTACAGTAGAGGCTGGCCATTCTGGCTCACAAGTTTGGATTTTAATGAATGAAGGGTTTGAAGACAAAAGGTCACCACTGAGACCCCCCAGTTGTGCCACTGTGGGACAAGGAAGTGGCTGGGAGTCTGGGAGAAGAACCTGACTTTGTGCTGTTCTAAGCATGGGTGCTGCTGCCTCAGTGCACACAGGGGAGCCTCTATGATTCGCCTCATCAGTAAACATCTACTGAGTTCCTACTGTGTGCCAGCCATGGAGAGGCACCGGGAATTCAGTGAGGAATATTCAGAAACAGTCTTTATTTGGGGAAGACACCACCCTTTAAGCAGATTCAGGACAGCAAGACAGAGCTGGCCCGCACAGAGAAATGTAAAAGTTGTGCTAGGCAGATAAGCTAACCCCTTAGGATGTTTTAGATTTGTTTTAGAACTTTTCTTCTTGGTTGTTGTATGCGTTATCCTAATGAGAGCAACTTATGCAAAAATGGAGACCATGTTTCTAACTCGACGCTCTTCTTTTACAGAAAGGTGCATTTCTGTTTTGAAAAGCTGTTCTCTCTTCCCTGTAGAACACGTTTCTGTAACTGTTAGGTAACACTCGTGACAATTCACTGGTGATTCTTAGGACAGAAATTAGAGTCACAGAAACATCTTCAACTTGTAAGAGAAATCTACAGGCTGCCTTCTGGAGAAAGTTTCTTCCCAGAACTAAAGCTGATTAACATCCAAACAACTATCCAGGTACTCTTGCAATGCACAAACCACCACCACACTAGAACTGATGGGGAAGGGAGAAAACTGCAGAAGACCACATCAAAGAAAGCCAGTTTAAGAGAATAACTTTTAAAGGCTCACTGGGAGATGTTGGGGATGAAGCTTTTCTGACAGAGCAATTTGCCTGAGAAAGATGGTCAGAGGTCTTTCAGCTGAGAACTTTAGTCAATTATAATCACAGCTGCACTGCTGAGATGCCAATTTATACTCAGATGCTGCCAAATGGAGCAATTTCCACAATATGCACCACATGCTTATTCTCCAAAGACACTCTCTATTGTAACAAGCTTGGTCACTGCTTCAAGGATTCAACAGGCTGCGTGATGCTAACAGGCTGGTATAAGATTTCACATTTGAGCATACTGTTCTTGGACATGGAGGGGCCATTCTCTATGGCTGAGAAAAGAGCATGGGGAACTGGTCCCATCAGTGAGAAGCTCTTAGATTTGGTCGTGATTATGCTCCAAGGTGTAATGGACTTGCCTGATGGAAGCCATTCATACTAGCAAGAATCGCTAGTGAATTTCTGAAGTTCAATTTGGGTAAGACACCATATAAGTTCAAACTATTCTACTGGATCTCCTATAATACAAAGTATATTTTCTCAAGTGTCTTTTAGCTGTAAAGGTAACAACACAAATTTAAAACAAAAGTGCAGTAGGCAATTTATTCATTTAAATAATATATCTTGAAAGTCCTTTTTAATTTCAGAGTTTTACTCACAAGGAGAACAAAGGAAGAGTTTGGAGGAAATAAGAGAATCAAGAATGATTCATTATGAAGAGATATTATTGTAAGATTGGTTACAAGAGCAAGTCTTATTGAGTAAGCTCAATTTGCAAGTACCTGCTGGGTGCCTATTGCATATCAGCACTGGGATGGGAAATGTTGGATATACAAAACTACAAGTAATGTGTATCTTGCAGAAGCCTGCAATCTAAGACACTTAAGTGTTGGCAAAAGTTATAGTTATGAATTATTAGTTGTGATCTCCTTCTCATGAAATTCATTATTATTTTCTAGGGATGTCTTTGTAATGCTTTTTAATTAAGTATACTAATCAAGATTTTCCTACTTCAAAAGTTGGGAACTTTGTAAGGTATGCATTCTTTCATTAATTCATTCAACAAACATCTATTGAATAGCTTTTGTGTGCCAGGCACTATATACTTCCCTCTTCTACATAATTTTAAAACTTCTTTGGTAATAATTCCTGTTGTATGATACTTTTAGCTATAATACATGTGTTTCATTTGTTCCTTTCAGCAATCCTGTGAGGTTGGCAGGCTGAATATTATTACAGATGAAATAAGATTCAGAAAAGTTAACTGTCTGGCTCAAGGTCACCTAGCTAGTATGGTGGAGGTGGGGGAACAAAACTTGAAGCCATCTGTTTTGACTGCACTACAATAATTTTTCTTTTTTCTTTTCCTTTTTTTTCCCCCTCGAGACAAAGTCTTACTCTATCACTCAGGCTGGAGTGCAGTGGCACAATGTTGGGTCACTGCAACCTCTGCCTTCCAGGCTCAAGTGATCCTCTCATCTCAGCCTCTCAAGTAGCTGGGACCACAGGTACATGACACTACGCTCAGCACATTTTTTGTATTTTTTATAAAGATGGAGTTTTGCCATGTTGTCCAGGCTGGTAGCTTTTCTATATATCAAAAAATTGCTATTCTTATTAAGAGCCACCATATTAGTAGTGCTTTGTCACAGGCAATATATAAACTATTTTGTATATATTATCTCACTGAAATCCTCAAAATTACAACTTATGGGGAAGGCAAAACTCAGATATGTTAATTTGCTCAAGCTCATACATAGGTGGAAAAAATTGACATTTGAATCCTAACCCTATACTGTTTCCCATTATGGGACACACAGTTTCCTTTCAGATGAGAACATAACGTGAGGACTGCTCCAGTTCTGCTTTGTTGAACTCAAATTCAGTTAGAATTTGAAGAAAAATGACTAGAATATAAGTAATATTCAGAACCCAGCCTGAATTATATTCATCTTTTTCTCAAAGCAATTTTAAAATATAATTTTAATATGTTTTTTAAAATTTATTTTTATTGCAGTAAGAACACCTGAGATCTACCCTCTTAACAGAGTAAGTGCACAATACAGTATTGTTAAGTATAGGCACCCCATTGTACACAGATTCCCTAGAATGTATTCATCTTATATAACTGAAACTTTGTGCTCACTGAACAGCAGCCCCCCATCTCCCTTCCCTCTAGCCCCTGGGAACCACCATTCCACCTTCTGTCTCTTTGAATTTGACTACTCTAGGAACTTTGTATAAATGGAATCATTCAGTATTTGTCCTTCTGTGACTGGTTTATCTCAGCATAATGCTCTTTGGGTTCATCCATATGGTTGTCGCATATGGTAGGATTTCCTTAAAGGCTGGTAATATTCCATTGTATGTATGCAGCATGCTTTCCTTATCCATTCATCTGCTGCTGGATATTTAGGTGGTCTCCATGCCTTGGCTATTGTGAATAATGCTGCAACGAATAGGGGTGCAGATATCACTGTGAAATCACTTTAATTCTTTTGGATAGAAATTCAGAAGTAGGATTACCTGATCAGATGGTAATTCTACTTTAAGTTTTTTGAGACAGTTACATACCATTTTCTATAGTGGCTGTACTAATTTACATTTCAACCAACAGTGTGCAAGTATTACAATTCCTCCACATCCTCACCAACACTTTTGTCTTTTTGATAACAGCCAATCTGACAGGTGTCAAGTGATATCTCACTGTGGTTTTGCTTTGCATTTCCGTAATGATTAGTGATGTTGAGCATCTTTAATATATCTGTTGGCCATTTGTGTGTCTTCTTTGAAGAACTATTTAATTCCTTTGTCTGTTTTTAAATTCGGTTGTTTTATTTTATTTTTTGCTATTGAGTTGTAGGAGTTCCTTATATATTTTGGATATTAGTCTTTTATCAGGTATATAGTTTGCAAATATTTTCTCCCATTCCTTAAT